AATACAGGACAGTGAAAAGTTTCAAGTAAACAGGGCTGCAGTTTTTCTATTGTCCAGCAGACGGCACAAAAGATCAAGCCTTTGCTGAACAATCCAAGGTGGTTTGGTTAGGTTTGGAGTGGATGCCAGCAGCCTGTTCTTTTAAAGAGCCAGTCAGCCTGGGATGGGAGTGGGGGTGGGGTGGGGTGGGGTGGATGGATTTGCACCACAGAGAACTATCTCAAAACTAAAATTAACTTTACAAAACTCTGAAACAGAGTGGCATGAAAACACTTTTGTGTATCTGTATAACAAACACATTTCCTTTAGAAAATACACTAATGGTTCAAACAAAGACACTGCAGATTTTATTGACTAAAAGCTACCCTTAAGGAAATTAAATTGACAGATCAAATTTTTTTAAAAACGAGACATCTCAAATTTGCTTCGCTTTTAATGGGTAATTATTTGCCCTAGGCCTTCAAAACTTCATTACTAGAACATATCTGTTATGTTCTTTATTATATTCAAAGCAAAACTCAGCCTCAAACAATTATATTATACACTGTATTTTAAATGAGTTTGTATACACATGTGTATATATATATATAGCATGCTGTAAAGATGGAGAGGGATTCTCTTGAAGTTTTGTGTGCAGCTTTGGGGAGGTGGGGCTTTGGAGGATAAGTCCTTTAGAAATAATAGTTAAGGCCCCTTCTCTAGTGCAATGTATAACTTTGGCTAATATTTATATTTTAAAAGACCTCTATTTCTTTCCATTCTGTAGAGCCTGTTGAAGTTTGGGCGAAGGAGAAGTGTAGGCTAATAACTCATTTCCCAGTTAATTTTATTAAGAATTTATAGCACTGTTTAGAAAGTTTTAAGACAACCATAAATTTTATTAGGAATATTTTATTAAGCCCTCTATTTAATTAATAAAAGACCTCTATAAGTTCTGAAAATGTCAGAGCTGGTAATTATGTTAACCAGTGTAGTTTTCCCCTCTCTAGAGACCAAAGCATTTTAATGATTTGAAATAGAGAGTAAGGCAAGCAACCAGACTCCCAGCATTTCTTTTTCCTGGACTTTTGTTAGGCAGTCTGAAGACAGTGAGTCAGGCATTTTCCCTGTGATGGTCAGAGTGCCGAAGCTGACCTCTCATTGACTTCTGAACTGGACCCAGACAGTCTTTGTTTTCTGAAGCAAAATGTAGTAAACAATTCTTCCAGCCCTTGTGGCCTGGATTGCTTTGGGACACTTGATTAACGTCCTTCCTGATCCTCCCCTTTAAGCCCTCTCTCCTATCACCTAACCTGGTCTCTCCCTTTAATAGCCGTCTAAATAGTTTATTTCAGTTTTCTCACAGTCATCCATTAGCTTTAAATTCTTGGTACTGTTCTCCTATCACATCCAGTCTCTTATCTCCTGCATTCCTCTATTATCTCCACTAGATTTCAAATCCATTTTCTTTAAACTACCCCCCATTTCTTTTTTTAAAATGCAAATGCTAATGTAGGGGTGCTATTTGGAGGGCAGAGGACTGATAGTGTTTTTCTTGAAGTACAAATCCCAAGCTCCCACACTCCAGGAGAACCTCAAGAACAACCACAACATTTTAACAAGCATCTTAGAGTGAGGTGCCAGATGATAAAAGCCTTATCATTTTGTGAACACAGCTGCCAAACTCCATTGATTAACAGACTTTATTTGTGTTGGGCTGGCAAATACACACACATATTACCTTCAGAGGTGCCTCTTCAATTTTGAAGAGTTTGGGGTCTGACTCATCGGTGTGAACTTTTGAAATAAAAGCCCAGTTCAGGATATGAACTTTGCAGAGTTCTCCAGAGGAGAACAGAAAATTGCAGGGGGTTCTCTGAGACTACTAGCAGCCAAGATGAATACTGCTTGCTTTAGAGGCCTCCCAACGGGGTAGGTGATAAACAATGGGGACCAGGACTCAGCTTGCCTCTTTCTTAGTCGCTGCACTCTAACTTTGGGAAGACACTGGGAGCCATAAAGGGAAAGTGGAAAATAAAAGGTCTGCAGCTTCAAAAGTAGAGACATCAGCTAGAGCTGAACACCAGCCGTTTGCCAAAATCAGAATGCTGTTGTCTTTAAAAACAAAACATTTGAAATAAGCTCAGGGTAGGTGCATTCCAGAGCAGCACACATCTAACAGTAATTTATGCCACAGTAACTTTCTGAGATGTCTGGAACTGCCTCTTCACCTTTCCTTATAATAGATGATTAATTGCTGACTTGATAAAACAGTTTTTTTTTTTATGGCTACTAAAGTGCAACTCCATACGTATGCAATTTCTCCCAGCAAGACCCAACTGTAATAACTGTTTGCTAATTGTAAAATCCTTATCCAGAATGAGGTTTGGGCAAACAATTCATACTACTGTAATTACATTGTAAAGTGTTTTAGGCGCTCAATTGTTCAGAAGTAATCTATGAAGGCCTGGAAGTAGCACTAGGTTCAGGTTCACATTCATAAATGGAAAGTTTTCAAAACTAACAGGGCTTTATTTTAAGCTCACAAGTCCAAACTATCCCAGTCTTTAAGGGAAAACTTGTGGGTAGGCAATTAAAGTATATTTTAAAGGTAACTTGACCCATCACTGTTAAAATCCCACAGCCTTGCCCTTGCTTTGAAGATTGTGCTTGTGTGAAATGTTTCTTACCTGTATGTTCCTTTTGCCACTTGGTCTGGTAAGCAGAAGAATTTACTGAGAAGCAAGAATCCCAAATAAATCCTATTCTCAAAAATATGTAGTTTATTAAAACTGACCGTGTCCAAACTTGAAAACCTTCACGCAGAGTTAAGGAAGCTCTAAGCCCATCACTTAAGTCGGTCTGAGACTCTTAGAGACCAGGTCATCTATATGTATTTTACAGTAAATTTCTCCCAGCTAAATTATACTTAGAGGATTGCCTTCGCGATTCATTTAAGAATTGTAACTTAAATGTGCTCAAGGTGGTGTCTGGTTTGAATGTCCTTCCCAATTCCCACCCCCACCCTCTGGGAGAAGTGGTGGTGCTCGGCAGGCCTCCTGGAGTGATGACACTCACACCCGGCGGGACCCAGCAGCTTAGACCACCATTCAGGTGCCGGTAGCATTGGTCTGGAGTTGGAGAAGGGCTCTCAGGATGTTTTGCCCAGCTCAATCGGTTCTATAATTCGCAGAGAAGTGTGCTGCCTGGCCCAGCCAGATCAGCTCCCCAAAAACTTGGGAAAATCTATTTCCCGAGACCGGGAGGCAATTCACCCAGCTCTTCCATGCCTGATTTTGACGCAGAAACCTGCATTAATCTTCCAAAAGACACATCGGAGAGTTTGTGCAAGAAAAAAGGGCGGAAGAATATGAGAAAAGTAGATCTTCAAACTTGAGTGTCGAAACGAGAGGAGAGAGAGAGAGAGAGAGAGAGAGAGAGAGAGAGAGAGAGAGAGAGGGGAGACACAGAGGCACACGATAAGGATCGTGGGGCCTTTTATTGTTTTAAACAGTCGGATCTGTTTCAAGGCAAAGCCCATTGAAGATTTGGGGGGGGAACACATGTCAGCCCTTCAGGTGTTCATTGTTGGGGGCGGGGTGCTGTGCTGGAGGCCCGCAAGCCTGGTCTGCTAAGCTTAACCGACACGCACGGCTGCAGGAGTGAACCAGCCCGGCGCTGACTTGTGCAGAGTGCTAAAAAGAACTATGGATATTGCCTAGGAGGCCCCTTGCTCTCGATGGAACCTGATTCCACCTCGACGTTCTAGTGATCTCGTATCTCCTGTTCCATAGAAGCCTACTCAGTAGAAACTTGAGTCCTGCCTGGAGAATGGAAAGAAGTCTTTGACTTGAAGCCTAAGAGTAGGCTTCAGAGATGCTAACCTTTTCCAAACAATCTCCGCGTGAAGGGAGCCTCCTAATCTTTCTCAGAACTCTCCGCATAACCTTCCCCCGCCCCTGGAGTGAGGGTTCGGTCCGCAGCTGGCGATGGGATGGGGGGTGGGGGCGGTGGGAGCGCGGGCCGGCTGCTTTGAGGGAGTGAGCCTTTTGGCCACCTTCAGGGCGGGAATCCGGAATGGATGTTTGCATTCCCAGCAGATCGAAGCTCCCTGCTGATCGATTATTTGATAATTGATTTTCCCCGCAGCCAATGCGCGGCCGCCTGGGCGGGGACGCCTTCCGATTGGCGGAGCCCTCTCCACCGCTGCCTACCGAGATTTGGGTGAGCTCATTTTCCAGTCGACCACAGGGGGAGTTTTCTGCGAGGTTTCAGCTTGGGGGTGGGGGGGGGCGGAATCCTCTCCAAGCCCAGGGAGCTGAGAGCTTTGCCTGGGATGTGAGGTTTCCAGCCACTATCTAAGCGATGAGAGCCGGGCGCAGAACTATAAAGAGTAAAATACCCCCACTAAATAGAATAACTGAGGGCAAGAGCGGAGTGAGATAAAAAGCCTCAAAAAAAAAAAAAAAAAAAACAACGAATTTTAAGTCCGGGGTGTGGTATTTCAAGGGAGAAAGTTAAAAACCAGTGGCTGTTTGGATACTTCAAGTTGTGGGCAGGGTCAGCTTTTGTCTGAAATCTCAGCTTCCGAAGTGGATTTCTTTTTCTCTGGAACTGGGAGTTTTGGCGGGGCCGGGTCGGAGATAGAAAAGCAGAGGGATGGAGGTCTGGGAGGCCGGCGCCGGGCGTCGCCACTGAAGGAGCTGGGGTGCGCAGCCTCTCCAGGCCAAGGCAAGGCCGAGGCTGGAGCCCCATCGCGTCTCCCAGACAAAGGCAGCCCCGGCCGTAGCTCAGCAGAGCTCTGCAAGCGCCTCGGGCGCACAGCTGCCTCGCCGACAGCGCGACCGAGAAAGAACCTCGGGTCCCGCGGCTACCAGGCCCCGGCCATCCGCGAGGTCTGGCTGCTCGGTGCTGGGGTTGAGTTTCGCTCTCCGGCGGTCATAAATAGCTCGGTGTTTGTAAACAAGCGCTGGGGGCACATTCCCCGCGCCCAGCTCATTGTTCCCTCCCTTCCTCCCTCACTTCGCGCTGGGGCTGAGGGCTGCCAGGCAGAGGAGGTGGGGGCGTCCGGACTCAGAGTGACAAAATGCAAGCATTTCCTTTCCTCCAGCCGCGCGTCCACTTCTGACAGCGGGGGGAAAAATCTCAAAACAAAACAAAACAACAACAAAAAAAACTATAAGCTGGGTCTGCAGAACGCCCAGGCGACCGCCACCCCACGTTCTCGGGACTCCTAAGCTGAACCTTTCCCAAGCCAGCTCCAGCTCCTCTTCTTGCTCTGGCTTTGACTTTTCTCGTTGGGGAGTCTAGCAGATAATCCAGTACTTTTGGCATCACCCCCACCCCGAAAAATACTGGCAGACCCCAATAATTTCGAGGAAAGTCTTGAAGTCTTTCATGAAAGGAGCTCTGAGAGAAATAACTCCGGCATCTGCCTGCCCTGCGTTTATTCCCAATTATTTCAAGAGTCCGCTTTGGGAAGAGAGGCTGGAAGGCGAAGGAGTGCAAAGAACACGGGACGGAAAGCCGGCGGTCCGGAGCTGCAGCCTGCATCTGTGTGCATGTGCCCTGGGTGTGTGGTGTTAGTGCTTGGGCGTGCGAATTCATGGAGCGCCTTTCTGCCTCTCCAGTGCGGCCAGAGCTCGCTTCGCGCACCCACCCCTGCCGAGGAGCCTACTTGCTGCAGCCCAATGCATTGTGTAAGACGCGACCTGTTATGGCCACCACTACTTCCGGGTTCTAGCATTCTGGTCGGAATCCACCTCTCCGCCTGTGCAACACACACTTTACACACGCACGGCGACTGCAAGCGGGCAGCATCGATCGTGGCTCCTTTAAGACAAACTCAGACAGACATTTTTTTAACCCTCCTCTCTAATCTCCCTTCAGTGCAGCAGTTGCAAAGAGGGAGAGAGAAAGAGAAAGAGAGCGAGAGAAGAGAGAAACTGATTAGGAATTAGGACTGATTCAAGGGAAGCGGGCGCTAGGGCTTTGTGCATTTGAATATTAACATTTGAGGTGTTCTGACCAGAAGAAGACAGAGCGGATGATCATTCATTCACCACGTTGACAACCTCGCCTGTGATTGACAGCTGGAGTGGCAGAAAGCCATGAGATTTGGTAGTTGGGTCTAAGGGGCGCTCTTTTTTTTTTTTTTTAACTGATTTTTTTTGGGGGGGAGAAGATCTGCTTTTTTTTTTTTTTTTTTCTCCCGCTGCTGTCTTGGAACCGGAGCGCTTTTATGCTCAGCGACGCGGGCGCCTTGCTTCAGGTCCGGTAGACCGAAGATCTGGGACCAGTAACTCACATTGCTGGAGACGCAAAGGGATTTTTTTTTCCGTGCTCCTTTTTTTTTTTTTTTTTTTTTTTTTCCGAGGGAGTTTGCATATTTGTTTCTTTTCACACTGGCCTTAAAGAGGATATATTAGAAGTTGAAGTAGGAAGGGAGCCAGAGAGGCCGATGGCGCAAAGGGTACGTATTAAAAACAATTGTGGAACTCAAATGTGAGACTAAATTGAAACGTGGCTGAAAGACACTACTGCTAAGTTTCCTTTTTTTTTTTCTTTCTCTCTTTTGAATGAGGCTCCTAAAGCCGCGGCCTAAATCGACAGGTTTACTCAATGCATTTGTAGCTTTATGCATGTTACTTGTGGTTGCTAATTCAAGGGATCTAGTTGTCTATAGATTCCTAACCAATAGCTATATAAATAAAAATACAAGCTCCAGGAATCACCTGTTTTAAAAGAAAAGAAAGAGGAAGGGGAATACATGTTACATATTCAGTGCTATAATTTGAGCATTTGGGACTAAAAGTTTAAAGCTATGTTTGATTAAAATAAACAGCCGGAACCTCTGCTGTATTATCGATTATACCCATCTTTAATATCAGTAGAAGTAGGTAGCGTTTTTAGATAAGTAACTGTCATAGTACAGTGAATTTTTGGTTGGAAAAATCATTCATCTTTTAAAAGTAATTTTAATTTGCATGGATTTTTATGCAAGATAATAAATCTGAAGATTTTTTCTTAGATAAGTCCTGTACTAATGGGATACTAAACACACAGCTACTCACTTTTAAAATGCAATACTAATTTCCCCAATATTTCTATTTGAATGGAAATGCCTTGAAAGTAAACTGAGACAATGAGGACCCAGCTGAGATGGTTTCTTAAAAGAAAGGGGTCTGCAAAAAGGCTTCCTTGCATAATTTGTGTCCTGGCCCTCAAAGCCCTTTATGGAAAAGAAAGTTACTAGCTGACACATTTTTCTTTATTCTTTTGGTTCAGGCAAATGTCAGCATTCTTCCAAACTCTCTTCACACCTCTGTCTTGAAGAGGATGAAAGTGGCAATTCCCCTTTCTTTGAAAATCATTTCACTCTCACCCTTTCCAAATCTTAGAAAGAAAGAGAACTTGCCTGGAATAAAACAATTAGAAAAATTCAAATAGCTGAATTTAATCACAGACAGTAATGGCAATCAATTTGAAAGCAGTCCCCCCACAAAGTATTTACTTTCGTGTATTTACTTTTGAATTTGCTTAAAAAGTAATGTGTAACAATTGCCTCTCCTGACTTCTACTCTAGGGGAAAGTTTGTGTGTGGGGGGAAAATAAAGTAGTGTGCTAGCTGCCTTCTTTATAGTTTTTCTTTAAACTTGGAGGTAACGTTGCCCAGTTGCATGTTCAGCTGTAAAGTGCAGCACAAGCTGTCTTGTGTACACTCCAGTGTCACACATATAAGGGGCCAGTTCGTTTTGTATAATTTAGCTGAGTTTGTTTTGGAAAGCAAAGCAAATGCAGTGTCTTGCAGGACTGCCCAATCCCATGCTGGCAGGGAAATAAAATGAGAAGCCTTTCTGAATTCACGTGCTTGGCACAAGTATTCCCATCATAACTTAAAAAAAAAAAAAAAAATCCCCCTGAAGTGAAGGGGCTGTGGAGCTAGGCGGGTCTGCTACACTGTCCCGGCACGTTTTATTGTTGTGATTTTCGGTTTCCTCCTCCAGAAACATGCGTGTTTTACCTTCCGCCTCCGGGAGAATGCCTCTCTGCCGTTCCTTCTTCCTTCCTCCCTTCCTTGCCAAAAGATTTTGGATTTTTGAATTAGTCTATATGGACACAAGTTAGGACAGGAACCTTCATCTCATATGACTCTAACTGAGAATTCTAGATTTTTTTTACTGTTAAAATTAATTTTTACAATAGAAAGCTCAACTTTAGAGATGTAAGGCCACGGGATTCGGGTAGAAGGATCCAGCTGGACTGACCTTTTATAAGCTCGGTGTCCTACCGTTCCCGTTTACCCGCATGGCCTCTGACCCTTTTTTCTCTCCTGTTTGTCATGCAGTACGACGACCTACCCCATTATGGGGGCATGGATGGAGTAGGCATCCCCTCCACGATGTATGGGGACCCGCATGCAGCCAGGTCCATGCAGCCGGTCCACCACCTGAACCACGGGCCTCCTCTGCACTCGCATCAGTATCCGCACACAGCTCATACCAACGCCATGGCCCCCAGCATGGGCTCCTCAGTCAATGACGCTTTAAAGAGAGATAAAGATGCCATTTATGGGTAGGTATAATGGGCAGGAGTTAAGTACTTGAGACGCGATGCTGCCTCCATTTCCTCGAGCCCTTGCAAGTGGAAAGTCAGAGCTCTCTAGATTAAAAGTACATACTGGTGGCTTTTCATTCACATTACATGGAAATTGCGGGCAAGCCTCCTCCCCACTTCCATTTGCACTCGGTGCAGGCTTAGCGCCCGGCTTGGCCGCCACGTTGGCCGCAAAGGAGTCCTAGTGCTAGAGTGACTGCCTAAAGATTCTGCATCCCCTCTCAGACTCGAGTCAGCAGATCTGAGAGTTAGCTCCAGAGCGTTGGGGGTTTCAAAGTGTAGGCGCCTTTGTGTTGGAAAGAAACTTTTAGTTTAAGGAAAATCTTTTAAGCCATTGATTGTTCTGACTTGTGGAGTTTACTCAGCCACCGTATGCTGGTTCTGCTGGTGCACAATAAAGTCAGAAGGACAGCTGCAGGTCAGACAAGGGGGACATGTCTTGCTTAAGGAGTTTGTTCAACTGAAGTCAAGGAGAGGGGCCGCTCTGAATTGACACAGAGGTTTAGGAACTTCTAGACGCTTTGGCACTTTGTGTTCAAAGGCGAAACACCTTCAGGATTTAGCAAGAAGTGCTATGGGATGCTCTTCTTCGGGAGACTTTGTGGCCAGCTGTCTTCAGTCGGCCATTCGATTAGACCCTGCACTAGAAACCCCTTTGGAAGTTACTTGTCTTTACTGTGTGCTGATGTTTGGGGGACACTCTCCCCACCTTTATCTTTAAACTTTATAAATAACTTTTATTTCGCTTTTCTCTTTTTTTTTTAAAAAATATGTAATATTGACCCTCGGCTGGGGTGGGGGGTGTGGAGTGTCTTTTTGCTTTAGTTTCTGGTCCCTTGTGCGGTGGGCTTGCTTAAATCCCAGCCTCCTTTCTGCAAATGGTTTAGGCTCCAGGACAGAACATTTGAGGAAGCTTTGAAAGGGACCCCAAACTGTTAAATTCCCAGCTAGACTGTGAGAGCTAATAAAAGGCTCCTTGAGCATTAAAAGTCTTTTTCTTTTCTTTCTTTCTTTTTTTTTTTAATGGGCTGAGCCGAGCGACATCTAGGCCTTTTAGATGCTAGTCACTTTACCACTCTAGACGAAATGTAAGCATTTGAAGGAACTTTCTTTGTGGGACTATGGGGGAGCGTCTGTGAAGGGGAGGGCAGTGCTGGAGAGCCCTGGAGGACCCCCTGCTTCTCAAGGGCTGTGTGACAAGGGTCGGTAGGTGCTGCCCTGTGACAGTCAGTCCTGTAACCACAGAGGCCTTTTCCTCAAGTTTGCTACCGAGATCCCCTGAGCCTGGAGATCTGTGCAGTGCCTCCGAGGAAGGCAGAGTCTGGCCCTCTCCCACTCCACGGCCCGCGCGCGCATTCCCCGGGCACCCGGTCCTGCTAGTGCGGTAGAGGGACGAGGGTTTGTCGCGGTGCGAAACTTAATTCAAAATGGCTGCTGGAACCGCTTGGGTTTTATTCGTAGCAAATGTTGCCAATTTCTCCGGCCAGATATGCTGAACTGATCCACAGACACGGTCCAGGGCTCAGGGCCTCCGACTTCAGAGCTCTAGAAGCAAGGGGGAGG